TGAAAAACAATATAATAATTGTTAATTAACATTTTTTTCAGTTGACTATTAACTGAATAATTGACAGTAAACTTTGGAAATTTTCATCATGTGATAGTTTCACTGAAATTTTACGACATTTTGTCATTGAAAATTGAAAATTTTGGGAAAAAATAAAAGGAAATTGGAAATTTTGGTTTTGTTATTCCATGAAAACTGACAAAAATCAGGTAAATATATTCTACAATTCTCCATTAATTGAAAATTCAGCGTAATTTAGTTTTAAATATTCACATTTTGATTGCAAATTCAAGTAGATTGGGGAACTCTTGTCTTCTTCCTGCTGAAAAATTTGGAATTTCATGGGATTTGAAATGTTTTTGCTTTTCTCTCAAAATCGATCACTCAATTACATCCATTAAAAATTTCCTCCTTTGTCCACAAGTAAATTATTCAACACGATAAAAGATCTCCTCAGGGGAGTATATAATTATTCTGCAGAACTATTTTTTCCTCTCGAACCTATTTATATTTTATTCATTTTATGCGAATAAAAAATAACCTTACTAAAGATTGAATAAAAGCTTCATAACGATCTAGTCAATGAAACCGATTGATTTAATTAATATAAACTGTTTCTCCGGTTGTACTAATTGCTAATTATCTCCATAATGAATGATCCTCGGAAAAAACGTCACAAAACAACATAAACAGCAAATTATATTCCATCGATCGGCATCCATCATTAATTTAGTAATATTATGAGAAGTCGCACCTCACAATAATTAAGATTTACTTATCTTCATTGAAATTTGAAAAACAATATAATAATTGTTAATTAACATTTTTTTCAGTTGACTATTAACTGAATAATTGACAGTAAACTTTGGAAATTTTCATCATGTGATAGTTTCACTGAAATTTTACGACATTTTGTCATTGAAAATTGAAAATTTTGGGAAAAAATAAAAGGAAATTGGAAATTTTGGTTTTGTTATTCCATGAAAACTGACAAAAATCAGGTAAATATATTCTACAATTCTCCATTAATTGAAAATTCAGCGTAATTTAGTTTTAAATATTCACATTTTGATTGCAAATTCAAGTAGATTGGGGAACTCTTGTCTTCTTCCTGCTGAAAAATTTGGAATTTCATGGGATTTGAAATGTTTTTGCTTTTCTCTCAAAATCGATCACTCAATTACATCCATTAAAAATTTCCTCCTTTGTCCACAAGTAAATTATTCAGAACGATAAAAGATCTCCTCAGGGGAGTATATAATTATTCTGCAGAACTATTTTTTCCTCTCGAACCTATTTATATTTTATTCATTTTATGCGAATAAAAAATAACCTTACTAAAGATTGAATAAAAGCTTCATAACGATCTAGTCAATGAAACCGATTGATTTAATTAATATAAACTGTTTCTCCGATTGTACTAATTGCTAATTATCTCAATAGCGAATGATCCTCGGAAAAAACGTCACAAAACAACATAAATAGCAAATTATATTCCATCGATCGGCATCAATCATTAATTTAGTAATATTATGAGAAGTCGCACCTCACAATAATTAAGATGTACTTATCTTCATTGAAATTTGAAAAACAATATAATAATTGTTAATTAACATTTTTTTCAGTTGACTATTAACTAAATAATTGACAATACGTCAATTACCTACGGAGTAAATATTTCTAAATGTCATAAAAGTATTATTTCTCGATTATCCAAATAATCGTCAATCTCCCGAACTCAATTATCGATTAATAAAATAATTCGGAATTTGAAAATATAAATTGATGATGAATTTAATAATTAAAAAATTGGTGAGTTTAATTAATAACTGACTTATTATCAACATTTTACTTTAATTAAAATTTACGATTATACCGATGTCTGCAAATTTCCCCAAAAAAATATTCTTTGAAACCCCGGTTGAGCGCAAAAAAAATCCATTCAAATCTCTGAAAAAAAATCAATTATCATCCCCTATTTTTCATCCACCGATTGAAAGATGCATTGAACATGAAAAGATATGACTTTCAACCGTTGAACAAAAGGACGCTGATTCATATACCTGTACACACAGTGCAAACGATGCCACCTGACTAGTTGTTCCCTCGAGTGGTATTAATAGGTCTTTGTTTCGTTGAAATTCTCGGTGTGGCCCCGACGTAGAACCAGCGGTACACCACGTCGTTCAGCCATACGTGAACGAGAGGGCGGATCGGCGAAAGGGAGGGGCTGCGGGGAGAGGGGGGGGGGCATCTATTATTCGAAATGTGGAGCAGATATTGGATGCCGATACTTCGCCAGTTTCTAAATGTTCGATCCAACGCATGGGGGTAAAATCCACCTCAACCCACAGCCCACGTTCCGCGCAACATTTCTACCCTTACTTTATATTATAGTAGGTAACAATGCCGCGAGAGAGTGGGGAGGCGGGGTATATATGACAGACAGACATTATCGTTTGCTATTATCTTTACATTTCATGCGCTTCAGTTCGCAATTTGGATTATCAAACGAACGACACCTTGTTATTGAAGGGAAGGCATTCAGATTTGTGGGAGAATGGAAAGTTAATTGATTTATCGATTTTTATGTGGAGAGAAGAGATGAGGGAAAATTGTCGCAAAAAAACCTTCTGAATTATTTTGCAAACAAGTGGGAAATTTTTCTTGTATTGCATACAGTGCAGCTGTTTTTGCTAATAAATTAGTAGTATGCTTTCGAATGGTTGTTTTGAATATCATTTCCTTCCATCACGTATAATTCATTTTTTATTTCATTGTAATAAATTGAATAAGGTTTCTTTTTAAATAATTTTGTCAGATTTTCAACTTAGCTGAATGTGATCATCATTATTATTTGTATTATCCCGTTCTATACAACCGATTGTCCTTTTTACGGGTCTATCTCTACACTTGAAGAATTTTATTTATAGATACTTGAATTAATTTGAAATGTCACATTTCAAGAAATTATCAGAAAGCTCACCTTCAGGGAAATTCATGGAAAATTCGAAATTTTCAACAATCATCATAGGGTAAACAGGTTAATTCCAGGATGGGGTTCACTTTCCGGACGATTTCAACTTGCATTGAATATTCCATAAATAAAATGACAATTCTAGTGATTATTTCACCTGTCGGTAATATTACTGACATATAATCATATTATTTTTATCAATTATTTTTTCTATTGATTAAAATTCAATAAATAAAAAATATGGCCCAGTCATCCAGAAATTAGGGGTTTCGGCTGCGTTCAACTATTTCTTAATTGCTTCCGAATGAAAGCATTGTATTTAATTATTCTTTATTTTGTTATTTTCACTTCAAATCATTTTTTCTGCTAATTAAAACGTTCTTAAAGGTACAGAAGCCATCATATCCGCATTTAGGTGATTGTTTTATTTTAGATCTTACCACGAAATACGAATTTCCCTTAGCGGACCAGCAATTGACCTGTTCATTCTAACAATAAAATCAAACCGAGAGAAAAAATTACTTCTGACAAATTATTCATCTATTATCATCAAACTATACGTTGACTCCACGTATCTTATATTTTGAGACGAAGTAATCTCGACATTTTTGAGCGAAATAAATATATTTTCAGGAGAGGTAATTTTTTCTCTCAGTGCAGTAAAAAATGGAAGAGATCTCAACACGTCCCATTTTGCCCGATCCTCCCCTGAGTAAACCTTCTTTGCCAAAAGTCGTTTTTTCTCTCAGTGCACGTTACTCGTGTGACTGTCCCTCCTGAGAATAAATTACATTACACTCAAAATTAAAAGCAAGTGTTAATGAGTCCATTGAACACTCAACCGATCGTGCGATGTGTCAATATTTATTAATAAAATTTACCAATGAATTACGCGATTTCGACGGTCATTTGGTGTAATGAAGCTCACTCCAATGCGAATAATTTGGCTGACGAGATTGTAATTACATTGGACTGATCAAACGTTCTCCAGTGAAATTTAATATCACCCCTCCCTTTCCTCTCCTTTTACAATAAATTCCATCATTTATTAATTGGAATTTGTTGAGTGAGCAGCAACGTATATTATGTATTAACACAGTTGAGTAAATTCTCGATCTAGAGCGATGCTGGCTCTCGTTCCCTGCAGCACCCTGGAGAGTGCTTGGATAGTTTTGTTTGCACTGTAAATAGTTATTCGAACAGATTGCACTGGAGAAGTCTCCCACGCGTATCAACTCACTGTTTTGCATTTCGCTGCTTCAACATTTTCAATATTTCTCGAGGATTTCCACGTTATGGAACATCATATTTTCTGTTTAAATTAATTTTATCGCTTGTCGAAAATTTGTCGTTTCACATATGGTATTGGAATTTAGTTAATTCTCAATTTATTAAAAATACTGGGGCTTTCTTTCGAGTGGAGAATTTTCTTTGCCAGTATTTTAATTCGGATAATTCGATAATTCGCCGGATAATTCGATTGGACAAGATTAACCGACAAATTTATATTTTACATTTCCCATGAATGTTTTTTAGTCACGGAAAAAAATTTATTTGCATTGAGTATAAAATATACTTGAATCAAGTATATTTTATTCTTAAATCAGATTGTAGTCGCATTTTCACACTGGATCCCGGAAATAAACTCCCGCCAATTCTTCAAGCCTGTAAACATTGTGCTCCACCGAAAAAATTTCTTCTTCTCCCATTCCCATTCTCCCTAGTGCTAGCTCAGGTAATCGAGACAACACGAGCAACTCAATGAACTGTAGTGGAATGGAGGCAAGTGCGAAATACAAACCTCACTCGTGGCCAACCCAATCTCCGATGAGGTTGAATGAAAAAGTGAAAAAGAGAGGGATGTGGATACGAGTGAAAAAACAAAACAACTAAAATAAATAAATGGGAATTGAGAGTGCAATTGTAGTGAACACACTAGTGACAAAATAAAAGGATGAAAAAAATGAGTGTAGGAGGGAGGGGGTAGAGGAGTGAGAGAAAATGAAACAAAAGTCAAACTCACCATTCTCCACGTAATAGCTGGTCTCGTTGTACCGCTCGTCTGTGAATCCGGGTCTCTTCGCTTTCAGCGCTTTCGTTTCCAATTTTGCCTGTAACAAAAAGGGGATAGTATTTGGTCATTGCAGCCGATCGAGCATTTAAAAGAGTGTCCAATAACTCTGCCGTGATTGACATTAAATTAACAAAAAAAAGAAGGTACAAAAAGAAGTTGATTGGAATTGAAAATGAAAATTGGGGTAACAAATTGAATTTTTGAACTTCTCTGCTACTTCAATGAGTTTCTTGTTTAAGTGAACAGTCAGGGCATTCAGAGTGGAAAAATAAATAATGAAGTGGACGGTGAAAAAATACGGAAAAAATGTGTCGTGAAGCGAAAGTTCATTGCACGTATTTTCTACTCTGCACTGTTGAAGAAAAATGGAATTTTCAGAACAGTTTGATAGTAATTTTTACAAGACGGACATTAGATTTGATTTAGGAAAGAAAATAATGATATAATGATAACCAGTCGCTAAACAAACAAAAACGATATTTTAATTACCAATTTTCAATCTACGTCGACCATTTTTGTGTTCCAAGTATTTTTTTTATAACTTCTCTATTTTTTTCCCACATATTTCAAGCCGATGGGTATCAAAGTATCAAAGATACAGCCGCCTGCAATTTTTTTCGACCTCCTCTGACTACACCATAAAATACCCTACACCTTAAATAAATATCCTGTGTCCTCGTGATGATGATCCTACATGACATGTTCTTAGAAGTCAAAAATGTTTTCTCTACGAAATTCTATATTGTATTCGTTCGAGTAGTCTGAGCCTTTGATTTGTCTTTATTTTGATATGATTAACTTGTCATGGCTGTTATAAATATTTCTAGTGTGCACACTTTCCATCTAATATTTGGAATCGAAAATAATTAACGGATAAAACCTATAAGTATGGATGAATGAGTGAAATGTATATGAGGTAAGCATTGAGATTTATTTTGGATCCAATCAATACGAATAGTAGAAAGTTATATGACAAACAAAATACTCTCTCCTTGTTGATAATTACATTTTGACAAGAATTATCGAACTGACATATTTAATAAATAAGAAACTAATTTAATATGACGTTACACCTGCTTGATTTATTTGCTCTATATTAAAACTGAAATTACCCCATACTAGTACACACGATCACCAAAAATTTTCCTCTTCAAATTTCTGATTTCGTTTTAATAAACTCGTTATCTTACCAAGGAGAATAATCAGCCGAGTAAATTCTAATTCCTTCAAACGAATCCTTCACCGAAATATCCCAGAAGCGTCCGACCTTCATCCCCAATAATTCATATTAATACGGGTAAGTGAAGATCGCACGTGACGATGACGGTTCTAGTTTGCCCCGGCGGCACGTATCCGTCCGCTGCCAGTGGTATATCGTGGCAGGAGCCCACAGTCATTACAAACGACGCGAAGTGGGTGGAGAGAGGGCGCATTATGATAATAGACCGACTCCCCCCTCCCCTTTCGACGTATTCGAAAAGCCCCAGAGATGGGTCACCCGGGGGCGTTTTAATCAATGCAATGACAATTAACGACATGGCTGTTAAAACGATCGATGACAAAGGGAGTCTCATGCTCTAATCTACCTAAAATTCCCATCAAATTACAACTGAAGTATTACGAGCGTTTTTATTCGGCTTGTTAAACTGACATTATCGTGATAAGGAGGCTGATTAATGGAGGGAGTTTAAATAATCTGGGATGGAGGGAAAGAGTCGAAAGTGTTTGTTCAGCTCTTGGGGATTTTTTTTTTTCGATAGGAAAATGGCTTTATTAATTAAGTGGATTATGAGTGATTGAGGGAAGTGTGGATTAAAGTAATTGGGGGTAATTTCAGGGGTTATGGGAGGGGACATTTTGGTAGAACAGCGTGGTTGAAGTAAATAAAGTGAGCAGTTTTTGCGGTTTTATTTTGGTTAACGAAAATTCACTCAATTTTTCGGAGCCATTCTACTCTGGATAACATTGTCGGCTGGCATTTTCAGTACATCTCTTGGAAATTTTTATCAAGATGTAGTTTCACTGAAATTTCAAAGAATTTTGTCATCGAAAATTCGCATTTTCAATGGAGGCTATCAATTTCAGTTTAATTATTTCATGAAAATGAACAGAAATCAGAAAAATTGAGATAAATTGATTTTTGAATTTATAATTAATTGGAAAATCGGCATAATTTGGTACTAAATATTCATGTTTTAAACGAATTTTTTTCATTCATTGAGCTCAACCGATGGTTTTTGAGTGGTTGACTCGAAGAGTTCTCTTTCACAGTCAAAATAGTGTCAAAAAAATCTCTTGGCAGTTACTTCTTTTCATGCGGAATTCATGGTAATAGTGTATGCCACGATGTGCTCCACTTTCATGTAACTCAAAATTTGTCTGTAGATCTCATGCATTATTTACTCGAAGGGATATATAAGTTCACATTGAGATATGTTATAAATTCATTCATTTATGTCAGTGCGAATATACCGACGTTTGTTATTCATTAAAAAAAAAGCTAATCTAAACTCAAGGGGAAATTTCTCTCCGCGATTTCCAATTTAGCATTGCTGATATAATTGCGTGTTTATCTTAGAGACGAATGTTGATTTAGACATGTCTGGAGACATTTCTTGTGAATAAATAAATTCTCAAAATGCGCCCAATGACATTCTCTCGAAATAACTCATTATTGAGATAATTTGACATCCAACAGGATACGAAGGGCCAACTCTGGTATTCAATTTTGGTTTTAATTATTCATTAAGCTCAAGAACCAATGGTTTTTGAGTGGGTGACTCAAAAAATCCTCTTTCACAGTCAAGAAAGTTTCAAAAAATCCCTCTTGACAGTTACTTCTTTTCATGAAAATAGTGTATCCAACGATGTGCTCCATTTTCATGTAAATCAACAGTTTTCTGTGGATCTCATGTATTATTTACTCGAAGGGATATGTAAGTTCACGTTGAGAAGTGTTCTGAATTCATTCATTTATCTCAGTACGAATATACCGACGACTGTTGTTCATTGAAAAAATAATTCAAGAAGAAATTTCTCTCCGCGATTTCAAATTTGACATTGTTGATCTAATCCTCTGTTTATCTTAGAGACAAATGTTGATTTAGATATGTCTGGAGACATTTCTTGTGAATAAATAAATTCTCAAAATGCGTCTAATGACTTTCTCTCGAAATAACTCATTATTGAGATAATTTGACATCCAACAGAATATGAAAAGCCAACTCTGGTATTCAATTTTGGTTTTAATTATTCATTGAGCTCAAGAACCAGTGCACGGAGAGAAATGTTCAGTAAAAATTTCGGAACTCAATTCACTCACCGATTACGGAATCGACTCAGAACATTTAAGTGACGGTATCGTAATTTTTCACAGGAGATTCAGATAGAAATTACGGAACGCTCCGGAAAAAATCCGTGACAGTTCCGTAAAAATTCCTACAACCACATTTCGCTCCGGAATTACGGAAAAGATACGTAATTTTTACTGAATATTTCTCTGTGTGGTTTTTGAGTGGGTGACCCAAAAAATCCTCTCTCACGGTCAAGAAAGTTTTAAAAAAAGTCTCGTGACAGTTACTTCCTTTCATGTGGAATTCATGAGAATAGTGTATGCAACGATAACAAAAATTTTTCTGTAGATCGTGCATTATTTACTCGAAGAGATATACGTAAGTGAGTGTTGAGATATATTCTGAAGCCATTCATTTATGTCAGTACAAGTATACCGAGCATTGTTATTCATTAAAAAAATAAGCTAATCTAAATTCAACAAGATATTTTTCTCCGCGATTTCAAATTTGACATTGTTGATATAATCGCGTGTTTATCTTAGAGACGAATGTTGATTTTGACATGTCTGGAGACATTTTTTGTGTATAAATAAATTTTCAAAATGCGTCTAATGACATTCTTTCGAAATAACTCGCTATTGAGATAATTTGAGAATTAATAGGATACGGAATGCCAACTCTGGCATTCGATATTTTTTTAAATCATTCATTAAGCTCACAAACCAATGGTTTTTGAGTGACTTAAAGAGTCCTCTTCCACAATCAAGAAAATTCAAAAAAGTCTCTTGAATTTATCTCATTTTTGAAGAAAAAATACTTTAAAAATAATTGATTAAAAGACAATCTCTATTTTTTTATCATTTTAGCGTCAATCTTCGTAACGAGTGGTTGGTGAAGAAAATCTCAGGAAACTATATTGAACGATGAATAATCTCTCACATTTCCTCGTAATAAAATCAGTGATCATCGAGAAAACCTGATACTCATCGGAGTTTAAAAAATCCGGTGGCACTGTAGTGACTATCACTCAACCACTCAATTTAGATAATTCTATTGGAAGCGATGAGTGACAGCCCTACTCAATGAAACCTCCCTCAGCAGTGGCTTTAAATAGTTCATTCCTTTATTACTTAATTCCTCTGAACAATTGATTAACTTCGTTCCCGCTTCTGAGTTTGTCAATGAGGAATGCAGATTTAATTCATCCGGCTTAGATGGGTAATATACCGTTGATACTTAGTTGTTTCTTTGCAAGCAGTCCGACATCATTAATACTATGAAAGTTATTTCGGTAAAACCATATCGATCCCTTTCAAGGGTCAATTACACGAAGAAGATATAGTCGAACTAAAAAATATCAAGTTTATCGAGATTTTTTTACAGTTTCTAATGCACCAAAATTCTATCTAAAAATTGAAGATGTAAAACTGAACAAAACACCAGCTTCATTTACTGTTACACGGAGAGAAAAATTCAATAAAGATTAACAGAAAAAAAAGTAAAGATTACGTTTCGAAACGTAATCCGCCAGCGAAGTCAAATTCAATAAAAAGTGTGAGCCCGAACTGAAATTGTACGAATCGCCACGTAAATTCTACGATTTGTTCCGTAAAAATTAACCACCCGTTTGATGACTCACCGCTGTGGGGACAACAAGTCGTTCCGTAATTTTTCCCCAACGATTGAGAAATTTTGCGGAACGGAACGTAGAAATAACTCACCAGCTTCATAAAAATTGTTGAAC